CCTTATGCCTTCATTCCTAAATCTAGGACAGTCAGTTGTCAGGAAACAGATGGTGACCCCCCCCCACAGACGTAGCGTAGTACCCTATTGTTACATACTCTCCTGTTCTATTATTATTTTAATATTTGGAAGCAGAGAGACACCCCTGCAGGGCAAGAGACTGAACCATGTCGGATCCTGAGAGAAAGATCCCCCCCCCCCCAAGGGCTTTTCTTTTTTAGTTTTAGCCAAATCACAACCCTGCCTATCTAGGGATTGCTTAAATTGATTTTTTTAAAAAAATAAATAAATCCATATTTATATCAGTCTCCTCATCTACAGTAACCCTGTGAGGTAGTTTATGTGAGAGACTGGCCCACATTTACTCGGTGAGTTTCCATGGCAAAGTTGGGATTTGAATCTGGGTCTCCCAGATTCCTAGTCCACTGGTCATTAGCTGTAATAAATTAATCGATCACGAAAGAGTTGTTCCACCAGTCCTTGCTGCGAGGTTCAACCCACCAGCAATGAGAGACTGCATGTGCTGAGAAGAGTGGTGCCCGTGCCCTCAAAGATGCCCGCCTGCAGGACTTGGAGGACACACCACTTGCCAAATGCACCCAAGACCTCCGCACAGACCAACAAAGTATGTGCATGAGCACTTCATAAAAGTTAACTGTGCTGCTGATGATCATCAGAAGCAGTTCCAAGGTAAGTCAAACTGCAGCAAAGACACAGATCATGGCTGAAAGATCAGTAGCCTCACAAATCCCCACACAAAGCACTCGCCAACCTTCAACCCACAAAGAGAAGAAGTTCGCCTCCCTGAGATGGACACCTGAAATTCTCTTGGCAACCAGTCACTTACCAGCCAATCATGTCTGGGCATTCATGGGCTGAATGGATGGATGAACATTAGGACATCTGTTACAGCCACCTTCGGCTAGCAACTTCTGTAACACCAGTCACGGATGTCTTCTCTCCATGTATCTTGTATCTCCTCCTGTATCCATGTAACAACAGCTGCAATCTCAATGTATCTCAATGGTGCCAAGACATCTCAATGGTGCCAAGACATCTCAATGGTGCCAAGACATCTCAATGGTGCCAAGACATCTCAATGGTGCCGCTGTAGCACTGAAGTGCTATATTGGTCTAGCACTGCAGTGCTCAACTTAGAACAATCCCCCCCCCCCAAAAAAAAGTTCAAGGAAGTCTGCACAGTGAAAAAGGGAGGGGGGAGTGCAATGCTATTGGAAGTGCTGCAGACATTTTAAACAGCACATCACAGCGACCCAAAAGCGCAGAGAAGTGGTGAAAATGGGAGAAAGCCATTTACCTCAAAAATGGCTCAGCCGTGCTTTGCTAACCAGATGCAAGCGGCTTTGTATGAGGTCAATAAAATCCCTTAGCAACCCGTTGCTAAAACAGTTGTATCTGAAATGACATACAAAAGAAATCAGTTAGCAACTGGCTACCGAAACAAATTGCAAAGTCTGTCTGAATGAGGCCCAAGTGTTTTTAGAAACTGGGTGGGGCCAAGGGGGTGTCAGCGCTAGCAGGGCTTCTGATTGGCTATCCAAGATCTGATGGGCTGGGCACTTTAAAATAATAAAATATCAGGAGAAACTTCCTAACTGTAAGAGTGGTTGAGCAGTGGACCAAGTGTTTTTAGAAACTGGGTGGGGCCAAGGGGGGCTTTTACCAAGGCTTGTGATTGGCCATTGGAAATTTGATCGGCCGTGCAGATGCTCAAAATGTTGCTTTGGCAGCAGCTGCCACCACAGCACAAGGATGTCGTGGGTCCGGGTCCGGCTGAGGCTGACCCCTCCTCAGATGAGGAAGAGGCAGGGAACAACTCAGCCTCCTCTAGAGACAGCCCAGAGGAAGAACCTTCAGCAGTACCTGAGGAGGAGGAGGAAGAGTCCCC